TATATATATATATATGAATATTATGATAGATAATTAGAACAGACAGAGCTCTATGATATTTTGCCGATGCGCTCGGCATGATACACTTCTAAAACGCAGTAGGAGATGCAATTTCTTCGTATCTAAATGACTTATCTACCGACTGAATGCAGTCCATTGCATTTGCCATGCTTTACAACTCAACGAAGTCGGGAAAGATCGATAAGAGCTAATCTGTGTCGTTTGTTCGACCAATGTAATTACAATTCTGCGCGTGGCATCACCATGTAGTTGCACAGATCGTCATATCGCAAATCTACTCTTTTCTCTGAGTGTATCATTCTTTTTTAAATTATTCAAGAGGTAAAAAGAATTATTTAATTAATTGTTTAAAATACATGTTTAATGATAAACATAAAAAGTAAATGCCTTATTTAGTTATTTCCTGTTTATAATTTAATGGACAATTTATAATTAAATGCTTAAGATATTGCAAATACTATTAAAATGCACGATTTGCTTTAAAATAGAGTCATCGCCGTTTTGTGGTGTATTTATAAATACTGATAAACATAATCTATTTCATGAAAATAAAAGTTGCAATCGTCGCTCGTAAAATATTATTACGCGCATCTTACTTTCCCTATTATTGCTCTACGCGTCTCGCGAGAGGAGAGGCATGCGGTGCCCCTTGAAAGTGTAATCACCCCAGAGCCCCACGGAGGCTGAAATATTTCACAGCAGCTGCGCCGCCGGCGATACGGGACCGGGCGACTTTCCCGATACTTTCATACTTCCGCGTCGGATGACTACACGTGTACATTCAACTGCAATTTTACAGGCTCTCTGTTCGGCACTTTATATTGCTTAGCGGTTGTTATTTGCGGCCACACGTCCGTTTCCTGGTGCGCGGCACGTCAGTGAGAGAGAAAGTATTAAGCCCAAATTACTCTCAGGCGACGATGCCGATTCAAGTCGACAGTTTTTTTGTTCTTATTATTGTGCCATAAAATGTTGTAAGTTATAGACGGAAAGTGAAAGCACATCCCAGCATGGGTAATCATAAAATATAGAATCGTGAATAATTTTTGCGAAGAAGTTCTGTAATAGTCATGAAATTTAATCGATAAAAGTTTTCTGAATGGACAATAATAATAACAGGAGCATACAAAGCCAACGCGAAAACATCTTTATAAATTATAATTATAGATGTTTAAGGAGAATTATTTAATTAATTGTTTAAAATACACGTTTAATATAAACATAGAAAATAAAAACCTTTATTTCCTATTTAAACGTCTAGCTTATTACAATTGACGTTCAGCCATTTTGTTAGATCATCTTCAGTATTTAAATTAAAACAATTACATTTATAATCTCTATTTAATACAGTTGTATCGCAAAAATACATTTTTTAAGCAAACGCATTCATTAACTCCAAAAGTTCCTTAAATTTACATTTGTATTTGATTCCATGTTATAATAATTGTCTTTGTTGCTACAAATTAAAATTACTTATCACAAATTATCTCTACAAACAATCTAACGATCGTTAAACTTTTCGTCAAATTATGCTCATAAGAAAAGATTCTCCCGAAAGAAAATGAGAGAAGACCCAATTCCTAATGGAATATCCAAAAGACCTCAATAAAAATTTATTAATTAATAGCTTTACTTTTGTTGTTCATAAACCTGAAATATATGTATGGAGATGTTAATAACTGTGTTGTCTGCTAGCAATCGTGAATGACAAAAGAAAATAATTAAATTAACAATCGAAAATACCCGCCAGGAAACTCTGTCAAATAATTAATAGAAAGACTAACAAAAGGAAAGGGAAATTTCCCTAAGTATTAGAGGGAGTGAACAGACAAGTTTTACATGTGAAATTAATGTGCATTATTAAAT